CCAGCTTGGTGTGTTAATTCTCTTTGGCTAGAATTGCTAGCCAAGATGATATTTCCTAGAATATATTTGACTTCCTGGAAAAAACATTAATTCAGCCTCCAGATTATATGGTGTGGGATTTGTTGAAAGTGTATATTTGGGGTCTAATAATTAAGGAAAGCCCATCCATATAATGTAGCTCTAGTGGGAGACATCCCTAATGCAGCTCACTGAGATCCCATTAATCCTAATTCTGATAATCTGTGAATGTGGAATAACGGCCATCAGTTGGATAGTTCTCTGCTCTTAAATGAGGCTGAAAATAAATTGATTGTCTCCCAGCAAAGCTATTTTGTCATGGGCAAAGCTACAGGTCATCTACTTTTCATGCTAGCAAAATCCCAATTAGACTTAAAAAACTTCCCTTTTATAACTGGGATAATTTCTGCCCAGAGCATGGTCTCCTCTGCTCATACAGACATAATGCTTACATTTAGGGGAGTTCTACACAGATGTACTGTATACTCCTCCAAGGTTGACTTTGATCCTTTTGACCTTGCATCCTTGTTGTTTGATTGCACCCTCCCATCCTTGGACAAAAAGGATATCCCATCTGCGATCTTTAAAAAAGGTCATGTGGGAAATGATATAGGCATTATTACAGAAAAGCAATGGGAGAAAGCACTGACTTTCCTAAGATATCCCTATTTCCAACACAAAAGCTAACTCAGATCTTTATTACAGACACAGAGGGGTTTATTTATGAAATCTGGTTCACACATAATCTTTTGCACTTCTTCATAGAAATCAATCAGCCTCCAGGTTTTCTTGCTAAAGCTTAATTGAACAAGCTGAGGTTAGGAGCTAATTGCCTACCCATGCACAGCTGCACCAGATTCTGAGTGAACCAGCTTTAGTAAATAAACCCCTGTGTGTCTTCCACCAGATACATTATTTTGGTGAGAACAATATGACACCTCCACTTGTCCAAGGTATGTCAATGACCTACACTAGGTGACTTTATCTAAATGCTATGGAGATGGCTCAAGCTAACCAGATAATAGAATGACATAGAATCATTGATCTCTAGTATTTCTAAAGGTGCCAGTGATTTATTTAGGAGTACAACTTTGCTTGCTGGGAATGTTAGATAAGGAACTTTACCAATCAGATATTATAACTTTGACCACAAGTCTTCTCTTTTTAGCGCAGAAACTTATTGCACAAAGGTTACATTCACCTAGCCCACCCACGTTTCAACTCTGGAAGTCCAATGTTAATTCCATTGCAATCAGGAAAAAAAAAAATATATTTTAACAAAAATTTGCCCTCAAAAATTATTTAAACTATGGAACAATTGGCTGTCCTCTTCCGATCTGGCACCCTCTTCTGTAATCTTGCAATTATTAATACAATAAACAATCCTTTGGAAGCTCTAGGTTCAAGGACAATTGCCTGTCTTACACTCATGTGAAGTCCCTCACTATTATTACATACATAGTATATATAACTGGTGATGTATATGTAACCACACATAACACCTCTTTGTGTTAGAAATGTTTTATTTTCCTGTCATTTAACTGTGTCTTCAACTGTGTCTTATTCCATATAATTCTCATAGAAGGTGCTTATCAATGCTACCAGTGGTATTTACTTTATTCTGCACCGTGCCATTAAGTGTCAACTGTGTGTCAAATGGAAATAGCCTATTTCCCTGAATGAGGAAAGAGAAACTCCTGTGAGAGTTTGGATACTTTTATTCTTGTTCATATTTCCTTTCCTTTTTTATGCTGTTTGTACTGAAAGAGCTAAAACTCTTTTAATAAAAATATTAGATTGAAAAGATTGAAACCATTGGCTACAGTCCGTACAATAATCCATTTAACTCAGATTTTTTTTGTGTTTTTTGCACATGTTTAAAAAATAATTTTAGGCCCAAAAATTACTTAAAACCCCCAAAATATCATATATCTTCTGAAAGCAGACACCCTGAAGAATAAAATGGTAGCAGTGCCATTTTTAATGTCACATGGTATCAGCACAATGGTTTATCAAGTGCAACATTTTAGTAAAAAATACACTAAAGTTAATTTTAGGGTACACAGATGCAATATATTACCCAATTTTTGGTAAAATATTAAGTTGTGCTGTGTGAATTGGTAAACAACATGTCAAGCTTTAAAATTGGATCACACTCCACTAGGTTCTTCTCAGACGTTCACTGGTTTCCTGTACCTTGCAAGAGGTAATTTGCTAAAAAATACCCCTTTGATATCATTATCCAAATCTGACAAGTAGTATTTATTTATTTATTTATTTATCGAGTTTATATAGCGCCAAAGGGTTTGCTCAGCGCTGTACAATAGAGGGGGGACAATACATGAAACAGAACAGTAACATCAAACAGCACACGAGGGGTTAGAGGGCCCTACTCTTTCGAGCGTACAATCTAGGAGGGAGGGGGTAGAGGCACAGGAGGAAATGGCTGTGGGGGATGGAGTGGTAGGAGGAGGGAAGGGCAGCGGCTGTTAGGTGAGGGTGGGGTAGGCTTCCCTGAAGAGGTGGGTTTTCAGGGAGCGCCTGAAGGTGAAGGGAAGGTGACAGTCTGATGGATTGGGGTAGTGAGTTCCAGAGGATGGGGGAGGACCTGGAGAAGTCTTGCAGTCGTGCGTGGGAGGAGGAGACCAGGGAGCAAGATAGAAGGAGGTCCTGTGAAGAGCGAAGGGTACGGGTAGGGTGGTACCTGGGAATCAGGTCGGTGAGGTAGTTAGGGGCAGTGTTGTGAATGGCCTTATAGGTCAGGGTGAGCAATTTAAATTTAATGCGTTGGGCAATGGGGAGCCAGTAGGGGGGTGGCAGAGGTGGAGCGGCTGGTGAGGTGGATGAGTCTGGCCGCTGAGTTCAGGATGGTCTGAAGCGGGGAGAGCCTGCACTGGGGTAGGCCGGTGAGGAGGGAGTTGCAGTAGTCCAGGCGTGAGATAATCAGGGAGTGTACTAGTAGTTTAGTGGTGTCTGGGGTAAGGAAGGAGCGTATCTTGGCGATATTGCGGAGGTGGAGTCTGCATGTGTTTGTGAGAGAGATTTGATATGAGGTTGAAAGGAAAGGTTTGAGTCCAGAATGACGCCAAGGACTTTGGCTTGCTGGGCGGCGGGATTGATGGTGGTGTTGTTGGTAGTGATGGAAAGGATGGGGGGGGTGGCGCGGGCTGGGGGGAAGATGAGAAGCTCGGTTTTGGAGAGGTTGAGTTTGAGGAAAGGAAATGGAGCGACATCCAGTCAGAGATGTCGTTTAGGAGGTGAGTGATGCGGGCGGAGAATGTGGGGGTGAGGTGAGGGGTGGATAGGTAGATTTGAGTATCATCGGCATAGAGGTGGTAATTGAAGCCGTGGGAGTGTATGAGTTTGCCAAGGGAGGAGGTGTAGATGGAGAAGAGAAGGGGTCCAAGGACAGAGCCCTGGGGGACCCCAACAGAGAGGGGGGAGTGAGGAGGAGGTGGCACCGTTGTAGGAAACGCTGAAGGAGCGTTGGGATAGGTAGGACGAGAACCAGCAGAGAGCGGTGTCTCTGATGCCAAGGGAGAGTAGTTTATTAAGGAGGAGGGGGTGGTCGACTGTGTCAAAGGCCGCGGAGAGGTCTAGGAGGAGGAGGACAGAGTAGTCGCCTTTGGCTTTGGCTTTAGTAGATCGTTGGTGATTTTGAGGAGGGCCAGTTTCGGTGGAGTGTAGGGGACGGAAGCCGGACTGTAGTGGGTCAAGGAGGTTGCTGTCAGTCAGGTGGGCGCTTAGGCGATCGAAGATCATGGGTTCTAGTATGGGTTCTTTTATACATTAAAGCATTAACGTATTAGGTATTAACCAACATGTAGTGAATCCTATTTTTTTATCCTATAATACATTCCATACATTTAGTTTTTTCCACATATAGTATTTTAGCATCCTAAGAATTCAAGTATTCAAATGTTTTTATCCTAAGACTTTGTGAGCCTTACACACGGTATATGTGTACCAAATTGTAGCTGGTTTAGCAGGAACTGGACAAATTTTGGTCTGTGTGTACCACTGTCTGTTCAACAGAAGCCTGTCTAACAAGCAGCTTCTCTGGTATGGTCATGCTGGAATACCAGCATTCTATCAGTACTTGTCCCCCCTGCCAGAATAGAAAACACAGTGGGAAAGATCCCTGCATCAACATCACTTGTGTTGATGAGGGGATCTGTGTTTTTTTTCTTTCATTCAACCCATTGGTTGAACAAAAAAAAGCTCAATGTGCATATCTTGTTTTACAGTTCATCTTAATTTGAAGACTAAATCATATTCTTTGAACATGCTGAACCGTATCTGCATTACAAACCTCTAAATACATCAAATTTCAATTCCAAGACTCATGGACTAGTGAACAACATAACTCATTACCAATTCAACTTCTGACTTATACATTTAACACTTGCTTGTAAATACAAACCCCTCTGTAAAATCTCTCACATTTCCCAGGTGGAAATTTATACTAGTTGCATTAATGACAATTAATATCCCCCAACTCTCTGGATCATACAAATCATCATATTCCACAAAGTAAAAAAAAAAAAAAAACATGCCCAGGGATAAAACTAATGTGACTATCTACCCCTGTATGTACTGATTAACACAAACTTATAAATTGATCAACACTCAAGTATATGTGCCCTGCACAATGTGCAAGAAGGAGCACGGATACAACAAAAGTAAGTATCTCAGAGTACAGTCCAATTAAATACTGTATTTCCCCCTATTATCCAGCTCAAAAGGACCCTCTAAACACAGTGCAAAGGATCCCTGGAACTCCTAGTGAGGGCATATACTCTCAATAGCACTGTGCTGATTTTCTATACATTTTTAGAGCACCATGTGTGGGCACTCTATGACATATGGATGCATGGGGCCACACGGGCAATAGAGGATCATGGGGCCACTGTGCCCTTGCGCAAACTCAAAAAAGCCTATGAAAAAGGTACCAGGGGCATCCCATGGGGCCCCCTACTGACCCCGGCCCTCGGGCAGTGCCCGAGTTTCCAAATGGTCAGTCCGCCCCTGTATGGATGTATCATTGTTTTACACATATACACACTTCAAGCCTTTTGAAATGGTGTTAGAATAGATCATAACATACATGCAAACAAGTGTGAACATGTATTTAACTTAGACATATTGAAATACATTGATGCTTAGAAAATATTGGTAAAAAAAAACAACAACTTTGCATTAATCCAATCCAATGAGGAAGCTTCAAGACAGCAAGCACACTACAGAGTGCTGGTCACTGAATTAGCTATAGATAACACATTTCACAATGGAACATTACTTTTACTCAGAGATGTGTTTTTAAACAATTAATACTTCATGTCTGAGGTTTATAACCACTTTAAAGGAAATCTATGGTGTTGTTTTCAGTGAGTGCACATTTAGAGTAGATATTTATCAAAGCATATCCCACTATACTGTATGCCCTGGTGAAGGGCAGCCTGGGACTTAGACTCCGCGCCCTGAGGGACTTCAGTCTGTTGGTGGTGGTTGTCATCAGCCAGTGCGTTACCCTGCCACTAGGCCTACCTGTCCGTTCCACAGCCCTGCCCTGACATTTACATGCAAAGCAAGATAGTTCAAGCTGTGATTTGTCATAATTGTGATGATTATGGCGTACAGCTCATGAAAACCCCAAATCCACAATCTCAGAAAATTAGAATATTGTGAAAAGGTGCAATATTCTAGGCTCAAAGTGTCCCACTCTAATCAGCTAATTAAGCCATAACACCTGTAAAGGGTTCCTGAGCCTTTAAATGGTCTCTCAGTCTAGTTCAGTAGGAATCACAATCATGGGAAAGACTGCCGACCTGACAGTTGTTCAGAAAACCATCATTGAAACCCTCCATAAGGAGGGAAAGCCTCAAAAGGTAATTGCAATAGAAGTTGGATGTTCCCAAAGTGCTGTATCAAAGCACATTAATAGAAAGTTATGTGGAAGGGAAAAGTGTGGAAGAAAAAGGTGCGCAAGCAGCAGGGATGACCGCAGCCTGGAGAGGATTGTCAGGAAAAGGCCATTCAAAAATGTTGGGGACTTTCACAAGGAGTGGACCAAGGCTGGAGTCAGTACAGCCACCACACACAGACAGATCCTGGACATGGGCTTCAAATATTGTATTCCTCTTGTCAAGCCTGAACAACAAACAACGTCAGAAGCTTCTTACCTGGGCTAAAGAAAAACAGACCTGTTCTGTTGCTCAGTGGTCCAAAGTCCTCTTTTCTGATGAGAGCAACTTTTTCATCTCATTTGGAAACCAAGGACCCAGAGTATGGAGGAAGAATGGAGAGGCACACACTGCAAGATGCTTGAAGTCCAGTGTGAAGTTTCCACAGTCTGTGTTGATTGGGGAGCCATGTCATCTGCTGGTGTTGGTCCACTGTGCTTCATTAAGTCCACGGTCAACACAGCCGTCTACCAGGAGATTTTGGAGCACTTCATGCTTCCTTCCGCAGACGAGCTTTATGGGGATGCTGACTTCATTTTCCAGCAGGACTTGGCACCTGCCCACACTGCCAAAAGCACCAAAACCTGGTTCAATGACCGTGGGATTACTGTGCTTGATTGTCCAGCAAACTCGCCTGACCTGAACCCCATAGAGAATCTATGGGGCATTGCCAAGAAAAAGATGAGAGACATGAGACTGAACAATGCAGAAGAGCTGAAGGCCGCTATTGAAGCATCCTGGTCTTCCATAACACCTCAGCAGTGCCACAGGCTGATAGCTTCCATGCCACGCCGCATTGAGGCAGTAATTGCTGCAAAAGGGGCCCAAACCAAGTACTGAGTACATATGCATGCTTATACTTTTCAGAGGTCCGATATTGTTCTAATTTTCTGAGATTGTGGCTTTGGGTTTTTCATGAGCTGTAAGCCATAATCATCACAATTATTACAAATCACTGCTTGAACTATCTTACTTTGCATGTAATGAGTCTCTCTCATATATTAGTTTCACCTTTTAAGTTGCATTACTGAAATAAATGAACTTTTGCACGATATTCTAATTTTTCGAGTTTCACCTGTATATTGCATTTTTCTATTCAGAAAGCAGGGATTCTATAACCTGAGACTTAGGGAAACTCTTTTCAGCTATCCTGGACATTTTTTGTGACACAAATGGCCCCTTATTGGTCTCATTATTATGTTATTTTCGCAGAAATAAAAACAGTGGAAATAGTAAAATGAAAACTTATACAAATAAAACAAATGTGCCAAAATACTGATATTATACACAAAAAAAGACAAATGCAAAGAACTCAAAACAAAAAACACTACATTGTACTAAATACACTTCTCCTCAATGAAACACCTTCTTAACCCCTAACTCACATTCATGCATGCACATACTAGGGCTAATTTAGACAGGAGCCAGCTAACCTACTAGAATGTCTTTGGAATGTGGGAGGAAAGTGGAGGAAACCCACTCAGCCACAGGGAGAACATACAAACTTCAGGCAGGTAGTACCATGGCTATGACTCGAACCGATGACTCTAGTGCCACTAAGTAGAAGTGCTAGCCACTTCACCATTGTGTGCTGCCATAAATGTTACAAATATTAATCTGCATAGACTGTACACCAGCATCCATTCCCAGTATGCTATTTTGGGCTCCAGGGTGGTTGCCTCTCTTGACATTGAGAAGGCATTCAATACAGTTGAGTGACTTTACCTGTGGAAGGTTCTATGAAGAATTGGATTTCTCCTTGTTTTTATCCATTGGTTACAAATTATCTGCTGTCCCCCAACAGCTGCCATTAGACTGGACGTTCACCTGTCATTTACATTACACAGGGATACCCGGCAGGGTTGCCCTCTCTTTCCAGCCCTTTTTACTATAGCCATGGAGCCTGTGGCTGAAGCTCGTTGAAGGAGAGGGTAGGCTTGTATGTGAATGACCTCCTGTTATTTCTTAACGATGCTGGCCCTTTGCTGCAGGGGACCCTTCAGGTTCTTGACACATTTTCAACAGTCATGGGTCTCAAGGTAAATTGGACCAAGTCTCAGTTATTCCCCATTGATCTAGATGCAAATAGCATGGCCCCATCTAATGTACAGTTACAATGGATATATGGGTTCACATATCTAGGAATCATTGTTTCTCAGAATGCCTCAAATTACATCACTCTGAACTTATCCTTGGTGTACCAGGCTGTTAAGAAGAAATTGAAAGCATGGGAGAGTTTTCTGTTGTCATTATTGGGTCAGATTAACTTAATAAAGATGAAACTACTCCCAAAGTTGAACTATTTGTTTCGTAACTCTCTGCAATGGGTTCTGAAATCCTTTTTCAACAGTTTTAACCAGTTATTCTCATAGAGCCCTCACTCATTACGGTACAAAACTGACCACCTCAATGCACCCTACCTCCCAAGATGGCTTTCATACTGCAACAAATATTTCCTTGGCTCCCACCTGGTCACTGCCCCTTGGTGGTTAAATCTAGATATATCCAATCCCTCCATGGTTCTGGAGGCAGTGGTGGTGCATTCTCTAGATGGCCTACAGATTCTCCTGTTTAGAGGCCCCAAGGCCCTCCACCTCTTAACTCCATCTATGCTTACCATCCCTAGGGCATGGCGGGTGGGTTTGGCATATGAAGGTTACGCAGTTATGTAACTCCAAATGCACCATTAAGACTTAACCCCAATTCACCCCATCTCTATATGCTGTCTGAACTATAGGCCTAGGCTAAATACAAGATTAAAGTATAACTAAAGACAATCATTTTTTAGTCTTGGCTGGAGTGGGGATTTGAACACCTGTCAAGTTTTTATTGCTATCTGTGAGTTCATGTTAGGGAGATTCAACCTCTTTATTTGCCCTGTTTAACGTTATAATCAAAAGTGAAAATAAAGTGAAAGTAAAGGAACCCTCACATTTTGAGTTGTCCCCAGAAAAGTAATACAGGGGAAATTTTTTAATGGGGATACTAGTTTTGGTGCCATGGGGGTGCCCAAGCAAATCCCTTAACTTGCAGGGATTATCTCTCACTTTCTGTTTTGGCTATGGGACAAGACATTATGTTAAATCTCCCCAATTAGACACAGAAGACAAAAAATAAACCAACAGGGGTTATAACCCTCCTATACTCTATCCAAAAAGGAAAAAAAGTATTGCTTATAGCGCTGCTTTTAAACCATTTTGCACATAGTAGTGAACTGTTCCCTGTGCCTTTGGGCCCAGCTCTCCACAGACTACAATGTTACCACCTCCTGCTCTTTTAAATGCCTGCAGTTGTCCCATACTTTCAAAAGTCAACTTCCATGCATATCTAACAGTTCAAATCTAGAACACCTACTTTGTCTGTGTTTTGACATTGGTGGTTGAGGGGCATCCTAGATTTAGACCTGGTTTTCCCAAGGGATCAGGTTATTCAATTTTAAGATAGTCCACAGGGCCTACTCTACTCCCTATAGACTTCACAAAATAGACTCCCAAAAGTGTTGGAGGTGTGACCATTCTTCCGAGATGTTTCCCATATTTTATGGATGTGTCCTGTAATCAAGCGCTAATAAGAGGAAATTGGAGTAATTAATACAGTACAGTTCAGCACACCTCTCTCAATCCATCTATTAGTATTTGCCTATTCCTTAGTGGTCACGTGATATTTTTGTACTTTTATACATATATTTTTGTGACGTTGCTTATTTTTGCAGGTATCTACAATCAACGTTTATTTTTGAACAATGAAACTAAAGTGGTTGTAAACCTCAGTAATGAAATCTGAACAAAACATATATACAGTATCTGTAGTGTTTACTTGTCTATCTCCAAAGCTGTAAGTGTTGTTTCTCTCTGGTGTTTCATTTCTCTGTTATGAGCATGAGTCACTTCTGAGAAGTTTTCTCTACACATGAGATACATTTGTGTTGGGGGCGGGGAGCTTAGTAGACAGTCTAAACAGAACATAGCTTCTGTGTACCGTGTGAAGGGTGTGTGTGTCCCTTTCCTCCAATCAGCTCTCTCACAGAGCTCTAACTGCAGCTCCCTGCCCCCACCTCTGTGATACTGACAAATGCAG